TCAAGTTAGACACTTTTTCCACATGACTTTAAGACTTAGCTAGAATAGACATAGGATGTATCATAGCAGATTATTGTATATTCTTGTATTCCACCCTTATGATTGTTAGTTTTGGATATTTTACACTATTAAGTTTTAATCCTCTCTTAGACTAAAAGGGGAATTGTAGGGAGTAACCCTAGCCCCGCCCAATAGTCCTGGGGCAGGTACCAGGTGGACCTGGGGACTCGCCCATAAGGGCGGGGTGAAGGAAAGCCGGCATGACGTAAGAGGGGCTTCTTAAAGGACTGCACGGGGGGACCGCGCTCTCTTTGTTCTGGCTGCGCTGGCTGGGTTCTTAACCTAGCTCTGGCCTGTGTTTCACCCGGCTATGCTTGGAAATAAAGAGACCTTAATCCAATATCTTACCTGCTAGCTGGCTGCTCAGCCATCCGTTTTCAAATGTTGGAAAAGAACAAGATTGCAACATTCATTCATAAAACAGTTCTGGGAGTGATCAAAGGTTTTCCTGGCTGAAATAGCCATTGAAAGGCATCTAATACTTATTTGGTAAATTAGAATATGCAAATGGCTGTAATGAATATAGTAAAAAAGATGTTTTTAAACAGGGTTGAAAATGATGCTTTCAGAATATTGGATACATGGTTCAAAGATTCCAAATACCCAATATATGTAAAATATGGATGTGTCATTGTAGCATGAATGTGTGAAAATGTATAAAAATGTGTTATAAAGTTAGGATTTGTTATGTGGAGGACCTTTAAAGGCATTCTACTGTTTTCTGCTTTGTAATATGATATAATTTACAATTATTCTTTGAGAAATCCATACATGTATACAAAGTATCCCAATCATTTTTAACTCCATTTTTAAATTTAAATTAGAAACAAGATTGTTTTAAATGTCAGTCCCAGTTCCCTCTTCCTCCCCTCCTCCCCTGACCCTCACTAACATCCTACCTTTCCCATACCTTTTCTGCTACCCAGGGAGAGTGAGGTCTTCCATGGGGGTCATTAGAGTCTGTCATATCCTTTGGGATAGGGCCTAGGCCCTCCCCTGTGTGTCTAGGCTGAGGGAGTATCCCTCTATGTGAAATGGGCTCCCAAAGTCCATTCCTATGCTATGGATAAGTTCTGATCTACTATAAGAGGCCCCATAGATTTCCAAGGCCTCCTCACTGACACCCGCATTCATGGGGTCTGGATCAGTTCCATGCTGGTTTCCCAGTGATCAGTCTGGGGTCCAAGAGCTCCCAGTTGTTCAGGTCAGCTGTTTCTGTGGGTTTCACCAGCCTGGTCTTGTCCACTTTGCTCATCACTCCTCCGTCTCTGCAACTGGATTCCAGTTCAGTTCACTGTTTAGGTGTTACTATCTGCTTCTACTTCCATCAGCTGCTGGATGAAGGCTCTAGGATGTATCCCAATCATATTCACCTACCACCCCTGCTCCCAACTCCCCCAAACTTCATGTCCTTTCCCCTTTTCTTGTTTGTATCCAATTGACTCCAATCAATGTTGTCCATATAGGCATGGATACAGGATCATTTGTTGGGGCATAATCATTTACTAGGGACATGCTTACAAATAAAAAAGTGACTGCCCTAGCAGTCATCAGCCATCAATAGCTCCTCAGGTAGGAGTGATGACTCCTGCATCCTTCTTCCATCCTGCTGGGACGTTGCCAGACTTGGTTCTGTGAAGGTCTTGCGCAAGAGCACAGCTACTGTGAGTTCATGAGTACAGTGGTCCTCTCATGACTTGCAGACACTGCTTCTCACCAGTCCTCCCTGACATCTGGCTCTCATAATTTTTCTGCCTCCTCTCCCATGATATTTCAGGAACCTTTCTGGGGAGCATGTTTATTTTGTGACTGAGCACTCCATGGTCACCCATTCTCTACACTATGACCAGTTTGAAGACTTTGTAATAACCATCGCCCACTGCACAAGGAACTTCTCTGGTGAGGGTCTGCGAGCTGCACTAACTAACCTATGGGTTTAGAGACCCCACTTTGGAAGGCAGTTTGATGCTGTAACAGAATATAAGTTTGAATGAGCGCTTCTGGGAACCATTGTGTCAATTCTTTTATTTCCACATACATAGAAACATCTTAAAATTATACAGAGATTTAAGATACAAACAAATATATAAACATTTTATTGCACATAGGAAATAGATGGAACAAAGTACTGCATGTGACATTATGGACTGGGAAAGACACAAATAGGTTATTTGACAGTATTGGAATTATTCCAGGGTCAAACCACTTGGTGTAGGCCCTGACAGGGATCTGCCACAATACATATTGCACTTTTTTCAGCACTTTGAAATCTGCTTTACAAATATTCCTCATATGCTATGCTTTCGTCTCTTCCTTGAAATACACTACAGAGCAGATTTTTAAAGACAAAAGAAACATGTGCCATTGAAAATGAGCTGTCTACACTGAGGAAGTTAAAGAAAAGGTCACCCTTATTCTTTGTGGAAAAAACCATTGACAAAATAAAGTGGCAAAGGTCTGTAAATAGAGGGAGCTATGGCAAAGCTTGGTTTCCTAAGCATGGATCTACTTGTGAATACTTTTGGGGTTTGAGAAAAATCATTAACCAGTTAAATTTTCCTATATCTACATTCTGCTTTTACTACCACCCAAACCCTTCAAATAGTGCAAATGCATGAAGGCACTGGCTGTCGCAGTCATTCAGCAATAAATAGTAACTCTAAACCTAGTCATTTTATTCATTCTAGATTTAAAATATAAAGTGCATCTATGAGGCTTCGTATTCATCCACTGTGATTATCAGTGAGTGACGTTTTCAGGTCATGGTCAAGGGAGACCCCAGTACAGATCTTCCTGGAGTTTCTCTCCCTTTTTGTCCATAGTCCTATCTGGAAGAGTCCCAGGATCAGGTAAAGTTGGTCTGTGAGGTTTGTGCAGGAAATTTGACCATAGAGTATTATTCAGTCACACAACATTCCTGTGGATCTATGCTGCAGTTATCTACAGATAAAGGCTTCCTTGTCATCTGAAGGGCTTGCTGCAGACCCAGTGTAAGCTCGCCTCACAGTCCACGGTAGTAATGTCTGTGTTGTTCAGAGATGCACACCTCTCAGACCCTGTTATGTTGAACCTGTCAAACCATAGAGACACTCAAATTTATTTCCAGTCCATCATTTCTAGAGAGTTACATGAGAACAAATTTTGTGGTGACCACTGCCTTTGCTGTCTGTTCCTGAATAGGAAGCACACAACACAAGTCTTCCAGTCAAGTAGCCATGGTTTACTGTGTAGAGACAACAGACAACACAGGAAAGGAATCTTGGTGGAGAAAGCAGGTAGAGCTAAAGGCTTTATTTTTCTGATTTTAGTGGGTGTCCCAGCAGAGGAACAGTTTGTTATCATTATTTTAGTTCATTGGTCCTTCAAGAAACACAGTTTTAGGGGACTTAGGGAATGGTAAGATTCACAGCTAATTTCGTCAAATACTACTGTTTTATTTAGGTCACAGGTGGTTTTCTTGTATTCCTTTGTAGCCTAGATGTAGGTATACAAGCATGGGATACATATTAAAAGTACCTCTACCAGGAATACAATTTGTTTGTTTTTGAGAAAGGGTCTCAGTGTTAGACTAGGCAGGCCTTGGTATCACAGAGATTCAACAGCCTCTGCTTCCTGGGTGTTAAGGCTAAAGGTATGCACCACTGAGCCTCCTTTAGAAATGTAGATTTTAATTCTGATATTCTATCATTTATTATACAAATGTTAAGAGTGAGAAATTTACTCATTCTGAGATTTTAGATGTCAAAGATCAACACTAACTTTATAGAATGTCCCTCAAAACTTAATGATTGGTAACAAGGATGTCTTTATTGCTTGCTTGGGGGGTGAGTTTCCCTTAGGTTCATAGACACTTGTAATTAGGCACTAAAATATTGTCCTTTGTCCCTGAACTGAGAGAGGAGGTGAAATAGGCAATTCTTTCCCAACAACTGCTTCATCAGCCACCATCAGAAGTGTTCCTGGACTAGGCCCAAACTCAGTAAGACTATTGCTCACACTAGTGTTTGCCAAGACAAAGTTAAGTTATTAAAAGGAGTTTTTGAGTGAATTTTAATAATAAAGGGTGTCTCTAAATAATTCCAAGGAGCATAATACACACAAGAGAAGTGTTGAGAGCTGTGTGATAAAGAACTGAGTCTCCTGCACCAACATAACATAAAAAAAAAAAATGAGGGGAGCGTAAAAATAAAATAAAAATGAAATAAGGATTTTTTTTAAGTGTCAGCCTAGAAGGGACAAAGAGATTTCTTGTAACTTACCAGTGGTTAAAATCTTGGCCATTTGCCCATTTCCATGTCTGATTAGCTTCGTTTTTCAGCCCAATCCAGTGTTCCTGTTCACCAGCGTGTCTCTTCAGAAATATCTTAAAGCACAATGAAGTTATGTTACAAACTTAACTGGGTAAGTTGATCTTTGTTAGCTGGGCTCCTCTGAGAGGCTGGTCTCTGAAACTAGGCAGCAAAACCACACTACAAAACTATACAGCAGACTCTCATTTTGACTTTCTAGATGGTTCCTATGGCCCCCTGTGACTGAATGTTCCTGCATGCGAGATAGGTACCCAGTTTCCACTTAGAAAATAACACAGTGAAATCATAGAAGATCTAAATAAAATAGATGAAATCAGTTGTGAATCTTACCATGTCCTTTCGGGAATCGATAACAGCAAGAGTAGCACCCTCTTGAGAACAAGAGTTTTGGGCCGAGGCCCAGCTGTTGGTTGTGGTAGAGAAAAAGTAGCATTTCCTCCTGTATGCCAACCACTCATCCTCGCAGGAAGCAACAGGGTGGTCAGATGATGCCAAATTCGTATACAGGCCCGGGCAATTGTACTGGCCCACTGTGGACAGGAAGATCATTTGTGTTAGTAACAGAAGAGACCAAACCCTCTCCACAGGCAAACCTAGCCCAGGGGCATGAGCAGAGGAATGTGTCATTATACTAGAAAATGACAAGAAATGGGGAAATCTCAAAAATAACATTTGGGCTAAAGGAGGAAACATGTATTGGGAGTTCCAAGTGAGTTTTGAATCTGAATGCCCACACATAGGAATCAGAAGGCACAATCTAGGGTGTAGTTTGTGAGATAAAAGAATGAAGGACTCTTTTCAGGCTGAGAATAAAGTACATGGAGAGGTCTGGGAGGAGGTGCAGGAAAGAAAAGTGTGATCACAAGATACTATGCAAATTATTTTCAATTAAAAATGCAGTAAGATGGATTATTTGGGGTATTTCCTCAAATTGTAACATTTCTTATTTGTAAAAGACACAAATGTGTCTTGTCATGCATGGTGGCACAGCATGATCCATCTGGCCCTGGGAGTCCTGGCTGTCATAATAATTCACTTTCTAGTCTGTTGGTTTGAGATAAAAGACAAAAATATTGGCCACTTTTTGATCAATCTATAGATACTGTTTTTTTAGATACCATTTTTTCCTGTCAACTGTGAATGAAGTCTACATTTTTTCTAATTTATCCACACATAAACACACACACACACACACACACACACACACACACACACACACACACACACACACACACACGAGCTATATATGTATATATATTCTTTCTTATAGATGTAAACATGTTCTATTCTACATAATGGATAAATCAGACGCTTTTTGTATTTATAAAATTGTTGCAGCTGTCATTTGGGAAACATTCATTATATTTCATGCTGACCATAAAACTGGTTGTTTATGGCATATGAGTTATTTCTAAGTTGACCAGAAGGCCTAATTAACTAGATTAGACTAAGACCCATTCATTTCAGCTGTAAGTGAATGCTTACTGCTAGCAGGCTTTGAGAAAATTCATGAAGTTTAGACTCACCAAGCAAGGCAACTAGAGCTATACTTAAGGAAGTAATGATGACCACAACCAACACAGCACAAGGGATAGGAACTTGAATGGATCCTTCGTGATGTTTCTCAAAATACATATGGGTGCCATGGTCTGAAAAGGGAGAGAAGTGGCTATGAATTCAGGCTGTAAGACAGAACATTTGTTATTTCTTAAGAAGTATAAAATTTAAAATAGTAATGTGTTATCCCATAATATAAAATGTCAATAGTCAATATTACCAAATTATGAGCACATTTGGAAAATGTTTTGTTGGCTAGGCAGGCAAAATGCTGACACAGATTATATATATATATATATGGGCATTTCATAGCTATGAAAAAAATCCAAGCATATTATTTTCTTGTTTTAAATACAATATAAGACCTCTTAAACATCCAGTCACCATAGTAGATATATAAAAGGAACATTGTGGCTGTAGTTTCTTAGTCTCCTTGGAGTTTGCTACTGTTTAGAAGAGATAAAATACATGGAGTAAATGTGAACAATGCAATAGAGTGAAATGTAAGTTTGTGCATAAATATCTAAAAGTGGGATTAAATAAGAATTTTAAACTTGATTATGATTCTTGGTAATGATAGTGTAGATATGTAACACCTGGGAACTTATTATATATTATTGCTAAGCAAGGACATTGAAAAAATACTTTGAAAATATTTTTTAAATGCTATGTATACATAGGGACTGCAGAGATGCCTTAGTAGTTAAGAGCATATACTGCTCTTGTAGAAGACCAGTGCTCAGTTTCCAATACCCTTGTCAGGCAGTTCACAACCACCTATAACTTAAGCTCTAGAGGATCCAGTGCCCCTTTTAGGCTTCTGAAGAAACCTATACATATATGACCTATACTCACACAGACACAAATAAAAAACAATGTTATGCACATACCACTATATGATATAGACAGTCTTTTACACAAATACATACACTACCTTTAAGGGATATAAAACATATTCCTAAAATATCTTGCACAAGAATACTCATAGATTTATCATTAATATCAAGTCCTGAAAATAATCCAAATATCTGTCCACTTAAGAGTAAATACATGCTTTTTGATATATCCATATAAAATAATTCTTAGCAATTCAAACAAAACCCCGATGCATACAATATGATTCTTAAAAAAGATAATGTTAAATAAAAAATATACTCGATAAAGATTGCATAATACATATTTCCATATAAGTGGCACTTTAGTGTAGCCAAAATAAGACGTGGTGTGAGATCTGAGACAGTGTTTGCATTTATGCTTGTGGAAATGGGACCTGCAAATGTCCTCAGGTGATGAGAATATTCAAATATTGATGGGAACTGTGGCTACACAGTTGTCATGTCATCACACTGCAGTTCTGTGATTTGTTCATTCATTGCATGTAAATTATACCACAGTTAAAATGATAACGTAAGAATGGACAGTGAAACATTTAATTTTCTAAGATAGAATTGAATAATAAAAAGAAATAACAGTTCTATAAAGGTGCTATATTAAGCAGAATTTTTCCATTTAACTTTCTCTATAAAGGTTGAGCAAAGTCACCATTACCTTTAAATAATAAGAAATGTTTCTAGCCAGGCAGTGGTGGCCTATGCCTTTAATCCCAGGCCTCAGGGGGCAGAGAGCGGAGGATCTCTGTGAGTTAGAGGCCAGCCTGGTCTATGGAGTGAGTTCTGAGCAGCCAGGGTTACACAGAGGAAACCCTGTCTTGGAAAACAAAACAAAACAAGAACAAGAACAAAAAACCCAAACAAGTAAACAAGATGACAACAACAACACAAAAGAAACGTTTCTTTGTCAGGATTTGCATAGGTAGGAATATGTCTGTTCTAGCATGTTAGATAAGTAGACAGAGGGAGAAGTCATTTTTGGCTTCAGATTTTGATTTGTTTTTTGTAGGATGACCCTCAACATTCAACACAGTGTGGCCCCACAAGAATGCCCTTATAAGTTCCCAAATTAGATTTAAAAATGTTCACAGAAGCTACAGTGTGAAATGGCTCCATGAATGACATTATAACTGGCAGTGACAATCTGTCTCCACTGTTGTAATCCCAACAAGTAGGGGGTCAGTGAGCTTGCAGCTGGTTTTGGCTGCAAGTTGAGAACTTGTCCCAAATGATTTTTCTCATTATAGCATATAACTTTTCAATGTGGATGACTTTTTATAACTAAAAGAATCATTCTGTAGACTGTATCTTGGAATTTGTGAATTCTTTTTTTTCTTTTTCTTAAAACATCTCATTACAGGTAAAGTTGCAGAGAAGGCACAGTCTAACTAATATCACCAACCCATGCATTTCCTAGAGGTTTTCCTTTTTCTTTTTCTTGGTTAGAGTCCATTTTCAGATTTTCTAAGAGAAGACTTTATCAATCCTGCCAGGATCTGTTTTTTCCCCTGCCTCCCTTTTTACACCTACAGACTTATCTTCAGAGGTAGTCTTTGGCAGGCTGATAACAAGTCCAGAGATGGGTCTAGTTTCACTTCTCCACATATGGTAGTCAGTCACACTGTTCGTACTCCATTTGTCAATAACTCTAGCTCCACAGAAAACACATCTACATCCAAAACAACACCTAGATATCAGCAAGCTCAACACATCGACCCACCTGGTGGACAGAGTGTGGAGACAAGCTCCCACGTGACACTTTATTTCCATCACTGGGGGTCACGGCTAACCACAGCTCAACCTGTCACCTAGGCAACAAAACATTCCCCCGTAACAGCACACGTCTGAGGCCTGTGACTTATTGTAGAGGTTGAAAACAGATCCACCTATTTATCACCTTTCAGTTACCCAAGAGGAGCCTGCTGATTCCTTTACGATTACGGTTATGACAATGAGAGCATAGGCTAAACATAGAAGGGTAGATGGGTCTAATCCTAGACCAGAATGGGATTTTCTGCATTAGCCCCTTCCTTCATTCCACTATTGATTATAGTTTCATTATTATTTGTTATACTTTTTTTTCATTTTAAGTGAGACATACAGGTATGGGTGACTTAGGTCTATAAAAATGAATATTGCAAACTATTTGTCTGTACTTGATTTCATGATCTCAAATAAGGGATGGGTTTTTAAAGGTGATGGAGGCTTTTTTTTTTATAATAAACCAACCTGACAATGAAACACTCATAAAATATCTCCCTCATCACCAACGGTCCCAGCTGTGTTGGGTCTAGCACATTCCATTATTAACTGCAGAGCTCTTACTTACAATCACTCTAGTTCCCAAGTGCTAAGAGCTTGAGGGCTCCTCATCTCTCAGAAACAGCATGGGGGAATTCTGACAATAGGAAGAATAATGTGTGTAGAACAGACACAGGGAAATGTGCAGAGTGATCATGTTTGGATAAAAATGAAGAAAAACATCAAAGCTACACAGAGAAACGCTGTCTTGAGAAACAACAACAACAACAACAAAAACGAAGAAAAAACATATAGTTGTTATAGAATTTGAAATGAGCCATTGGAGGACAGAAATAGGATAAAATGGAAAGAAGGTGTTCCAAAGAGATCATGGCAGAAGATGACATTTTAAAGAAAGGAAGGGCTACATCCCAATAGGTCATCACGAGACACACTGTGAATGTTTATGTGTGTGTATAGCTGTTTTCTCTTAGACTGGAGATCTGTGTGCTTCTGCCCACTGAAGGATTTGTGATGGGAGCACTGAAGAAGCAAGACACACAGAAAGCAGGACAACATACAAGGAAAGACCAAGAACATAACTGTTCATATGAAAAGGAGCTCTTCATAAAGAGGGTTAAGACCTCCTGAATTATGCACAGATGGTTATGGGAAAATGAAAGCAAGTAAGTAGGATAAGGCAGAGAATTTTCCATTTAAATTTGATAGTTGAAATGATGTAATTGATTCGAAGGAAAAGTCATCTAAAGATCCTCTGAAACTCATATAGCTCCCTCTCTGGTATTTACCTACGGCCAGTCTCTCTTTTCCCAACTGAAATAGAACCTAACCAAGTCCTCCAAAGATATCTGTCCATTCTGCACTCTCTTCCATTCACCAGACATAGAGATCATACCAGAATGTAAGAAATCACAAGACTTACCCCTCTCCCCTCTCTCCAGATGTGAAGAGCTGTTCTCTGTTACAGAGCCCTCTTCAGAATTCATCTTCTTTTTTTCTTCTCAAAATTCCCTGGCTTCTCTGGTGTATCTTAAGAGGGCTACAGTGAGCTCTTGCTGGAGCTGTCTTGTTCAGTGTCTTGGTCTCTGAAGCGTTTCAGCTTTTAAACCCCATCAGTCTGGCCCCACCCCTTCCTCCTCTCTTCTACTCGGTCAATTCTGCCAGTTCTCTTTAATTTATGCTCCAGTGGCCCAGACACTTCACCGTGTGTTGTGGTGGTGAGCTTCGGGCTTTCCCTGCTGTCTGAAATGTGCTTTCTCACAACAGTAGTTAAGTGGGATTTTCCCAGAATTGAAGACACCTTTCCCCAAATTTTTAGAAAATCATAAATAACTTAGGAAATAGCATAATCTAAGCAAAGAGTTAATGGTTTGAGGTCACTGTATTTGATAAGGAAAAACACTGGAAGAGAGAGCAAACTTTGTTTTGTAATCCTACGCATGCATTTCTTTGTACCTGTAGCTATTGGCATTTATTGGGTATCTATTGTGTGCCAGGTGCTGCTGGTAGCCAGAAGGTGCGCTGTTGAGTAGGGAATTTTAAAATCTCTATCCGCGTGGCTCTCTCTCCAACTGGGACAGGTTTTATTTATGAAATTATGAATTTAAAAAGTGTGACGTTCACTTCTTTTCCCCCACAGGGACTAGTTCTTTCAAGTGTCATTTAGTCAGGAGTTGCTTTGGTGCAGGAAATAGAAAGCTTGTGGCCTGGAACTTCCTCGATGCGTTCTAAAACTGTTTATCTTCGGTAATCTATTTCATCGTCCCTTGCTCATTTTCTTGTCATCCTCCACTGTCAGACTTCCTTTGTTTCAGTGCAGAAAGTCTTTCTGTTTTCAGTCCCCATCCTGTAAGTTATTTGTTTGGTTCAGATATCTGTGACCTCAGATATTTGAAATGTGATTCCAATACCCATATCTCCCCATTGTACCAATCTCATCCCGGTAAGTTATTAAGTACAACACAAAACAAAGTGAGAAAGTGTCCATTTGGTGACTCAGGGGTTCTAATGAAAAGGATAAAAGTATCACTCTGATTAATAACTTTGGTGCCCAAAGAACACAGTCACTCCTGGAATAAGGTTGTCAGGTTTGCAGAATAAAGCTTTAGTGACGATGCTAGCTTAGGTAGGTTGGAAGATGCCATGCAGACAACTGAGGGGAGCCAGCAGGTGCATTTTTCTGCTTGAGACACAGACAGGTGCATATTGATCCTGGTGCCACTTTGTTCCCAGTACTTTCCTGCACAGCAGCTGGGGTGAGGTTTATAAATACATCAGAGCATCTTGGTGAGACAGTCAGCTCCCAAAGGCTTCCTCCCAAAGGCTCCCTAGAATCCAAAGAGCTCCTTAAGGCCAAGAAGAACCTATACAATGGCCTCTGGCCACCTCCTCCACCACTCTCTCTCCAACAGAAAACTTTCCACAAGACTGCCTAGCAGCCCCTCACTGCCGGGCCTGTAGGCCTTTAGGTTGTTTCTCAATGGTTCTTTCTCCATGAATGTACTGCCATGCTATCTGCTAATTAATTATCCCAGTACCAACTGAAATGCAGAAAGGTCTAGATACAATGAGAAAGCACACCCATTAACACTAAGAGTGGTGCTCTTAGAACTCATGCCTGTTGAATGGGACATGGCACAGCAGTGCCTCAGTGACACAGTAGGTACCTCCTCCTTCCTTGCCATTTGCTGCCTAGGTGCTGTACACTCCCTGGGAATGGGGAAGGCCTAGCCAAACTTTCCCTTCAATTTTACCACTGTTCAGGTATTAACTGCCCAGAAGCTCCCATCTTCCATCACGTGGAACTCAGAAAACACTGTGTACCTCTACATGCCTTCATCTTCCTTCATAGCATTGTAAATGTAAATATGTCATGCAGCATCATTGTTTATCATCACTTTTCCTTCCTGGACAGTCAGCTGTTTGAGGGCAGGAACCTTGTGTGACTTGTCCCTCCCTGTTTCTAATGCCTGCCATAGTAACCAGAAGCTAGTATGTTTTCAATGCATACTTATGGAATGAATGGATGGATAGAAGGAAGGATGGATGATTGCAAATTCATAAAAATGTGCAGAAAACTCTAAAATCTCCAAAGTGTGGGTGGTTGCTACTCAGAGAAATATGTAAGCCTGTGTAGGTGACTTTTGATGGACAGTGGGGGAAACGGAACCCATGGATATTGCTAATAAATTCTGAGGATGAAGTTAAGATTCATAAGTGGAGGAAAAGCAAAATTTATTGTAATGAGTTTTCTTTATATATACTATGTTACTTACTTCACACAATCTGGATAGAAAAAATTCATGGGACAATATTGCTATTAAAGATTTTTCTCATTATTTAAATCCTTCCTAATAGGGTAAAAAGGGAGACAAGTGTCTTACTTTGTATATATATAGTAAGAATACATATTGTGATTATGTATACACTCTGATATATATCAGTGTATATAATATATATACACTCTGATATATACACACACACACACACACATATATATATATATATATATATATACAGCTAATTGTGTATCATACACACACACACGTTCTGATTACTTTAGCCTTCTGCCTTTTCCTCATGCAAAGGAGGACTTTCAAAGAACTGATTAACATGGACTTTATATTCCAGTATACACATCACTAGTATGTACCCTGTCCTGACAAGTTTTATATCAACATGAGCTACAGTCATTTGGGAAGAAGAAACCTCAACTGAGAAAATGTCTCCACCAGACTGACCCATGAGCAAGTCTGAGGGCTATTTTCTTGAATGATGATTGATGTGGGAGGATCCAGAACACTGTGGACATATGTCCGTACATACATATGTATGTACACACACACACACACACACACACACACACACACACAGTCAAATAGCCAAGTAGACTTAGCACCAATCTCTCTCTCTCTCTCCATATATATATATATGGAGAGAGAGAGAGAGATTGGTGCTAAGTCTACTTGGCTATTTGACTTCCTTCTTTCTATTCACTCTGTGACCCCAACCCATGAGAAATAGCCAGCAACATGCCGGCTGGCCTTATCTTGTAATTTTGGTTTTAAGCCCAGCCTTTAATGGTTGTAACATCACTCCAGTCCAAAGAGTAATTCTTCTCATTGAGTTGAAGCTCTCTAGAAGTGCATTCACAGACACACCCAGAGGTCTGTTTCCTAGGTAACTAAGTCCAGTCAGGTTGTCAATGAAGGTCAGCCATCACACCACATAAATGTGAAATCTAATTCCCCTATCTAGGTGCTAAGTACCCTTGGGATTTGAATAATCCCGGACAGCTTGGCATGTAAACAAAGTATATAAATAAATTTTCCAAACAGAATCTTCATTCAGGTCTCACTTTCCCACAGACTCTGCGCAGGTCAAATGTGTTTGACTTTGTTCTGCTCCTTAAGGAAGTTAAACCTGTTTTCACTGTAGAGGGAGTGTTCTTGTTTTCGTTCTTTATGTTCTCAGTTTTTTTTTTTCATGGCTAACTCATAGTCATCTTGTTTATATTTAATGCTACACATCACCTCCACATCAAGACTTTCCCTAACCACCATGTAAAGAACCTCCCATTAACCTCTATCAGTGAATTCTCTGTTTCACTTAGTACATTATGCTACTATCTGAAGATTTTTAGTTCTTCTACTTACGGAAGCCTTTAAAATCATTATTGTCATCTGTCTCTCACTTCCAGACAGTAAGGTGTTTATGGCCAGGGACACATCTGCCCTATTAATCAGCGATCTTTGATACCTAAATAGAGCCTAGAACACTGAAGGAACCCACCAAGTGTTGATGAATGTCACATGCAAGTCTTAATTCAAGGCTTTGTTCATAGTGTGTATTTGGGAAATCTACACAACTCCATTGATTTTTGGCTTTGCTATGTGCAAATCAACACTATCTCCAGAAGTTTCTGAGAGTTGCATGAAGAACAAATTGAACTGGAAAGTTAATGTTCTATAGCTGTTAGGTGCTTGTTGCTATGTTGTAGAGTGGGAGTCTGGTGTGTGAAGGCTTTTCATTTGAGGAGAGGCACTGGGAGATGAAAACTGAAAATTCTCAGCATCATTGCTGATGCAATGCAACCAGTCTGCTGTGTGTCAGGAACTTGGGCAGACAGAGGAAGCTGCTGCATCCTTGTCAGTCACCTCTAAAAGAGTTCTTCGTGCTAAGATTCTCGCTCAAGTGCTCTAGGTTTCTCGCTTCATTAACCACAACCAACTGCACTGGTCTTCTACATACAGTTATGTATGTGTTATGTACAACATGATAAATATGATATAATATATATATATATTTCACACATATGTGATTAGTCACAAATGATATCTAGAATTCTTATTGTGTGCAATTTGACAAATATCTTTAAACATTATGACACTGATGTGCTCTCAAAATCTGAATATTCCAGGATAGTCTGGCAGGCAAGCCTTATTTAAAAAGGTTTGGTTTTCCAAGCAGTTACTCACCATCTCTCATTCTCCCCTCATATTCTGCACAGGTCAGCTGTCCTGACCTTCCCTTTGGGCTTAAGGAAGTGAAATTTGTGTTCCCTGTCAAGGGCATGTTCTTTCTTTGGTTCCCTATACTCAAAGATTGGTTTTAACGACTGGCTCTTCTTGTTTATATTTAACACCACACACCATGGCTGCAAACAATTCTCTTTCCCTAATAAAACACGTACTCTTTTTATGAAGTCACTTATCCCTACTAGGCTTTTAAAGAACAGCCAAAATATTTTATTGAAGTCAATACTCATAGGGATGGGAGAATGAAGTCACTACCAATAGGAAAAAAAAAAAACAAATTACTAAGACTATGCATTGGTGGGCCTCCTGGCTACCACTGGCTCTCTTGATCTACACAATCTTGAAAAGGTTAAAATTTGTGGCAAATTTTTGTTATCCACCATTTACTCGTTCTACTTCTCTCCTGTTCCCCATTCTCACTGTCTTCTCTCCTTTCATTAGTTTTGAGA